TTCGGTCTTGATGCGGACAAAAGTGAATAAAAGAGGGAAAATTGACGAGGGTGGGGGGGGTGTCACGTGAGAAGCACGTGAGGGTGATGTGGAGGTGGTGGGTGGTGGTCTGTAGAGAGAGTAAGAGCGAGCGGGGACGGGGGAGACTGTGTACGGTGGTATTGAATTTTGGGATCAGTCGAGTAAATGCGCGCAGGTTTTTGAAGGGAAAGGCAGGAAGATATATATGTAACTACGATTGTACCCCTCTCCGTTTCAATTTGGGGTCTTACTTGTTGGTTTTTTCATCCGATTATTATAATGTGGATTTTATTAATCTCTCTAATTAACCAAACTGGTTTAGGAAAGATGACAATTTATGTAATTTGTAATTTGACTTTCTCCGGGGATTATGCATCATTACTTAGTTAACCATGAAAGGTTTTAGTCAAAACCCATTATGGAAGTTTCTTTGAAGATTAAAATTTCCATATTTAATAAGGTTTTATTACATAATACGTAGTAAGTGCCCATTGATTTACAGCCCTGAGCTCTTTGCTACGAAAGAGAAAAAAAAGGACAAAACAGGAGTTTCAAGCATTTTTATATATAAATAAAATGATATTAGGCGAGTTTCTCTACACTAACGAACTTAGCTGTCGGTCTAACCAAGCATTTGATCTGGAAGGAAGGAGCTAAAGAAGCGTAAAATGGAGCTAACAAAAATATGAAGCCTGTGAAAAGATGTGGATTAAGTAGCACCAAAACGACACCGGCTTACCTTTTTAAAGAACTCCATATATTTACTTATAGAATGACACATGTATTCTTATTTTACTTTTTTCATTTGGATCCCAGATCCTAAAATAAGGTTTTACATGTATCCAGTGGAGCATGTTGTTAGTTGTTTAATCAAAAGCACTAAACTAGTATTTGACATTCTTAAGGGTACTTCTTTTTGGCACTTTTATGTTTATCAGAAATTCTTTTTGGTACTTGAAAAGTAATAGAAAAATGGAAAAAGAAAAAAAAACATATTATATTATGTAATTATTTTAATTAATTATATAATTAATGGGATTTGCGGGAACATGAACTGCTACGCTTCCTAATAATGGAATAATGTGCAAATTAACTGGAAATTTTTGAGAAAAAATCATGACACTATCACTAGGGTCCTATTATAATAGCACAACTATAGCATAAACTTTTTTAATAATACATTTTAATAATTCTCTAACATTAAATAAAAATTGCCGTACATCTAACTTTAGCACTATCCATTAATTCATAGAATATATTATTGTCACGCCCTCTCTCTCTCATCTCTCTCTCTCTCTCTCTCTTATGGAATTACTTCTTGCACACTCTTGGCATGCATGTTTAAAAGTATACAATTGTCTTCCCCATGAAATGGCATTATTGTTTTGAAAGGAGGTAGTTGGTTTGTTGGCATTGGGCAACAACATTAAGTAGCCTTGTACTTTATTAGATTATATTCTATGTCACTCGAGTAAAACCCGATCCTATGGCAAACAAAAAAGTAAAACCCAACCTTTGACCCAAAAAAAAGAAAGAAAAGAAAAGAAAAGTAAAACCCAATCCTTCCTATGCAAAGGAAAGGAATAGAATTGCACTTAAATATATACGATGAACATGTTTCATGAGCATACAATAAGGGAGTCCCTTGATGTTAGGATAATGTTTTTTTTTCAGATATTTTATATGTTATGTAACGAAATTTCATGTGTGATCCAACTCATTGACTTAATTAATCATTACTTTTGTTTTTATTTTTCGTGCATACAATATAGATGTGAATTAAACAGTTCATCATGGTATGTGTGTTAGTCCATCTAATTTCAAATCATCTTTATATATTAGAGTAATTTATAGAGTGTTGCTATTCTATATATTCTGTTCTTTTCATCTTTCTCTTTTTACGTTCAAATGGAATACAATAGAAAATTGCCCTTCAAGTATACATTTTTATCTTTAAAATAATTATCTAGAATATTTTTATGGGAGTTTCACTAAAACACCCAAAATGGAGGTTGAAATTATAAAAAAACCCAACACCCAAAACACTTTATAAACACACCAAAAACCCATCATTACACACACTCAAAACCCATTTATAAACACACCCAAAAAGTTGACTTTGGAGTTGATTTTGGGTGTGTTTCTATGTTTAAATAGTGCTTGGGTTTTTTTATAAATACATGTCTATGATTGGGTTTATTTATAAATTTGTATATTTTTAAAAGATACAAGGCAGAGAGTAAAAAAACTAATAGATTCAGAAAATCAAAATATTAAACTAAAATATTTTTCCTGTCCATCAAACGCATCTTTGATTATCTTCATATACTATTAGTAATTAGTAAAGAGAATTTGCTTGAATTAATAATTAAAGGGTATTTTAGAAACAATGGTGGAAAGAGCAAAACTCAATTTATAATATCTCATTGTTTAAATAAAAAATTTCTTACATACGTGAAGGCACCTGAGTTTCATTATCTAATCTGGGTTGTGCGTAATTACGTATATCTAAAATATTTTATCCGATAATTAGAAATTGGGTCATGAAGGTTTTTCTAATTACAAAATATAGCATTTTCTCAAATATCTCATACTTTATATGATAAGTACACTACAATAATGTACATATTATTTGTACCCAAAAAATTTAATATTAAATTATTATGTTCATCATCGAAGAGCAAAATTCCATTGATAAAGATAGTTAGAATTAGTCAAATTAGGGTTCACCAGATATGATTAGCTGATGATGTAATTTGTCGAAAGCTCATGTGAACTTTCATGTAACGCACCAACTTTGAGAAAGTAAAAGGAAGAAGAGAATTGCATGGGGATAATTTATTTATTTATAATCCGTCATTATATGGCAATTAATTAAGCAAATGGTCAATTAAACGTGAAATTACACAGAAATTTTCACTAAAGTTCATGTAATGGCTGACATAACATTGATGGATCTTTCAATGTGTGGTTACGTGGAGTGCAAATCCAAAATGGGTTACTTGTATAATTGTATATAAAAAAAAAGAGGTAAGCATTGACGACCATAATGAAGCAAAGTCAAGCTCTAATTCCTTGTCGTTTTGGCCCCATGGCTGAGGGATGCGTACGACAGCAAATGTGGTTGCGCTTGACCTTGACCAAAACGACCAACCACACTCGCACAAATCCACAGAGTGGGGACAAAAAACCAAAAACGGATAACACGCAAGCAAGGGGCTTGGAACAAGTTTCGAGTGTGGACACTTCCCTTCTAGCTTTCTTCATGATGTTTGTCGCATCCCATCCCAAGGGTGGGAAGTTACTCGACTTTTCCGTTTTTCAGTTAATTCTTTTACTAGATTTTCTTTTTCCAAGTTAATTCAAATTAAGGCTTATTTATTGAAATAATCCTGTATATTTGGAGTCTTAAATCTCCACTGTACTTCAAACTGGCTCAAAATATCTCATATGTTTAAAGCATACTGGAATTTCAATAAAATAAACATGACTTTCCTCATTCGAAGTAATGAATCATACTTAACAATTAATTAGTAGTAAAAGGCCCACTAGTATAGTGATTTGGAGCAATTGAGTTCGAGTCCTATTATCTGTGCAGTGTGTGTAAGTTTAGTATATTATCGTCATTCTCAATAGAAAAGGTCACTAAAAAAATATTGGTAATGTCTCCTACTAAACTACCCCATAGTTATCATTACTCTTTACTAGTTTTACTAGATATTCTTTTCTTTTTTTTACCACTCGTAAGCTCTAGAGAGCAAATCCGTTACGTGGTTGTTAGAACATAGAAGCATTCTTGATGTCTACTTTGGTGTTTCAAGGTGAGTTAAGTGTTTTAGGTCCACTAGGTCATGTCAAGCTTTGTGTCTAAGATTCCACTATTAAAGCTTTTTTGGTGGTTGATTTTATCATAAATATTGAAATCCACGAGTTGAGGTTTAGTTGGTGTTCTTGGGTGCGGTAGCTAGGATGTTGAATGTGCATTAATTCGCTCATTTTCTAGCCCTAGCTCAAACCCCATCCCATGTGTCTAGGAACCATTGTGAAGAAAACAACACTTTGGTTTACACCGACAATTCATGGATTCAGTCTTTAACACAGAGTGAGGTCGTGGATTCGATTTTTCTTATGCCAAAAATTCTGAAATGTGACGGCTTTTTATTTGTGTGTTATAATATGAGTTGACGATATAGTAATCATCAATAAATATACATTTATATTGTAATATATGAACGAGCTATAGAGTGATCATTCAGTACGAAGAAATTTCCATAATCCTACAAATTTGAGGGATAAAATAGTGTCATCATCTTATTCTTTTTTTTTTTTTTGTTTAAATTCTATTTTATTCCACGTACGAACCAAAAGAAAATACGTCTATGTGGTTGTCCTTTTGGTTCTCGGGATCCAGAGTCTTGACTTTTGTCATGTTGGTTGGAAATCAGTACAGTCATCAATGTCTTACTTTATTTCTATATTGTTTTTCATTCACAGTTTTAAAAACACATGCATAAATCTGCATATATATGATATTACGTAGACAATAGACAATGTTTTAAGTCAATTCATCTCAAGACACGTGGCTCTACAATATCCACAACAATGTGGATAGGCACTCGTCGACGACTTGTAACTTGTAACTTGTAAGGAGAGGATACTGATTTTAAATAGGCTTAATTATGCACATGCCCCCTGTGCTTTTACGTTTTTCTCATATTACCACCTGTGGTGGAAAACGTCTCAAAGTACCCCCCAACGTATAAATAACCGTCTCAATTTACCCCATCCGTCAAATTTCCTGACGGTCCGTTACGAATAGTGGGCCCCACTTCGTTTTAACCTTGAAGCTGTTCGAATAAGGGTTTCTCAGTTTGTAACAAAGGGGAAATTGGGTTTAGGGTTCATTGGAGAAGAGGAGAAGAGGGTT